GACGAAACGGCCGTCCAGTGCTTCCAGGTTTTCCATGGTAGTCTAGTTTCAATCGACTCATGATCTCAACTGTTGAAATATTCATTAGGTATCGAAATTCAATATCCTTATTATATCTTTTTTTTTAATACTATGTTAATTTTATTCACTATGTTAAACTGATCTAATTGAACCAAGATAATTTTTTAAATGATAATAATCATTATTAGATTTTGTGGAAGGTATTGAACAATATGAAGTGACTACAGGTTAGCCAAATGTTGAGATGCGAAAAACGTGGAATAATTATTTCAACGTAGTTAGTTATTACTCAACCCGCAATTTACAAGATCATACTGAAGTAGTTTATACTTTAGTCCACCAAAATTCATGGTGATCTTTCATTGTCATTAGTAATACCATTCTTATACTCGATATTGTTGAATACCATCAGTTAAAGCTTATCACCAACACAGTGACCCAAACAGTAATCACTTACTATGAGATTTATAAGTCCCAAGTTCGATCTTTGACTGGGTCAGGATTTCAGATTGTTAACTGATTTCTAACTAGAACTAAACAGTTGGCCAGTGTTTTCTAGTTAAAAATGGTTGTTTAGCTTCAATATAATTCTACAATATATGTATATGCATAAACGTTCATCCCAAAAGAAGCTCAAATCAGTTTGCCGAACTTAAACGTCGAAATTATTCGAATTTCACTTTCTATTTGAAATATAGTTTTAGCTGCAGGGGATCGTGAATGTTTACTGCTGAGGTGTCCCACACTAAAGACGAAACGGCCATTTAGTCCTTTCAAGTTTTTCATAATGGTCTAGCTTTAAATAACATATTTAAAATGTTTATACATGACTACTGAGTGGGAATATCGTTTTACATAAGACTGACCACTTTTAAATTAAAATTGCGTGTGTGAATATTTCATTCCTATTTTTTTTCACATATATTTATAATTACTTAGATTACTTCTAAATTAAAAAAAAGGCAAGTAACCTTGGCAACTAAAAACGTAATATTAGTACTAGCAACTTAACTAAGCTTTTATCTTTTATTCTTCTAGTGGCTACTTGTCACTTGAGTATATATATGAAGTATATGATTCTTCATCTTTTAAGAAAAAAATTAATGATTTTCAGTCTAGATGAAAGTCAGAGTTAAAATGACATGAGAGTGATGTTTTTGTCATATAAAATGGATAATGGCTTGTAATGGCTTATTCAATATATATGTTTACACGTGCAATGCTCTAATACACACACACACATCCATATATATTATATATATATATATAAAGAGAGAAAAAGGGGGTACAAACTGCCTTCGAATAGTATTCCTTACTGTGAATCTCAAAATTCTTAATGCTGATTGAGTATATTTTGCCTTATTCAATGCTTCCGTTTTGGTAATCAATCCCGACAGCAGTCAGTAAAATAGGATATCCTTATGTCATTTTATAACTAAGTTGTTATGTCATATTGTCATGTCTGTATGCGTGTATACCTGTGTCTATTTATGTATGTATTTCTAATGCAATAAGAACAATTTGATTATGTAATCCGAACACGTGATATACAAAAAGTTCACCACTAACAATGAGTTGGTATCTTTATCAGACACATGAAACACACAGAGATAAATGAAGGTTAGAATGAGAAGAAAAACATAAAAAACATGTCGCTAGTGATTCTCTTACCTCCATCTGTTCAAATTGGTTTGAATAAATGAATGACTGAGTGAACTAAGAGAGTGGTACTTGACCTTAGTAGTGAAATCATAAATGTTGATGACCAATGACGTAATTTCCTTAACTCATTCATATCTTCATATCCTAGATACAATAAGATGGAATTATTATGTGTATGTGTACATAGCGCGGGGGGGGGGAAACTATGAGCGGAGATAATAGTAATAATAATGATTGTTGTTGTCAAGGCTAAAAGATGTTTTAGGAATTGCGTAACTTTGATTTCAATATGTTTATGTCAAATATAGAGATTATTTTTAAATTAAATTTCTATATATATATATATATATATATATATATATATATATATATATATATATATATATATATATATATATATATATATATATATATATATATAATTAAATATCAGCTTATGTACACATTACCAATTCAGTTTCATTTATTCAGTGATTTACATATCCTGTTAGTTTATTACCTTTTGTTATTTCCAGAGTAGCTCAGTGATAATTTAAGACTGTAAAACTGAATGATGGATATTTGAATGAACAGTAGAAGGTACGATTTAATAGTTAGTAGGAATTAACATCAGGGTTGGATGGAGAGGGCTAGTGGGTGGTCTATACTCTTCCACGGAGAGTAACAGGTGTAAGTATAGAATTAACCAGCAAACGACACAAGGGACAAAGAAGAAACACCCTAAATTAAAAAAATATCAAGATCTCAAAAGCACCCATGGAAGAAAACACAAAAAATTACGTAGTCAATCTGTCAAAACAACCACTAACAAATACGGAAGAACACCTACTCTGAAAGAGATTAAACTACAATACAAGTGACGCCTCAAAAGTGGAATTCTTCGCAACACTAGAGTCATGATTCAAAACTTCCGGAATCAGTGAAGAAACAAAACAAGAAATAAGGCAAACTATAGTACCGCTAACTAAACAGGTGAAGGAAAACAACCAACTGACCTCAAAAGAACAAAAAGCTTTAAGGGAATTCAGAACTAGAAGGGATATTGTCATATTTCCAGCGGACAAAGGACGCACCGCAGTAATTACGGACAAAGAAGAATACGTCAAGAAAACCGAGGAACTATTCGTGGATAAAACCACATACAAACTAATGGAAATAAATCCAGTCAAAAAGTTAGACAACCGAATCACAACGACTTTAAACAAGCTTGTCAAAGCAGGAGAAATAACAAAGCAAGACCAATAGAGAGTGAAATCCACTGAACCAGTACCCCCTCGATTCTACGGCAGACCGAGAATACACAAACCAAACATCCCTCTACGTCCAATTGTAGCACTCCCTGGAACGCCAACATACAATTTATCAAGAGAAATTTCAAAAATATTGAAACATTTAGTAGATTCATCCAACTGCTCCATCAAATCCACCACACAATTCCTGGACCAAATTAAAGACATTCAAATCAACAACGACGAACTGATGATATCCTTCGATGTAACAGCGTTATTTACCTCGATTGAACCAAGGTTAGCAAAATAAACTTTATCACTGCTACTCACCAACGACACAAATCTCACAAAGTACACGAAGCTTCAAATTCAAAGTCTACTACAACTCATCGATTTATGCCTAACAACATACTTTAACAGACTTCAATCTGAAGTTTGTGCTGATGATATCGTTCAGAAGAACGATGAAAGCTCTACGACCAAATCATCCAGTTCAGAGAACAAAACTCCATCAAAATCATCCACCTAAGCTACAAATTTTCTCCAACATCTCATGAAGCTTATGTTTAGAGATGTCTATAGATTAACTCCAACCGACTAAACGATACTGAATATACAACATCGAAATATATAGTTCTCATCATATAGTTTGATCTAGAGTTCACATTATGAATATATACTATTGAAAAAAGTGTAAACTGTTAGAATAATAAAAAACTGTTCAGTGTTTTCTAGTTATTAATAAGCAGTTTTATTTATGATTGGAGGTTATTTCGACAGTTAGCTAGTGTTATGTATTGAGAACAGTTGACCAATCAGAATCTTGATTCTAATTTGATCTATATACAACTTACTGTTTCTGACTTGGCCAATTACTCAACCGACTTTGAGCTGACATAATTAAATTTCTGCTAGTTCACTATTCGCAAGCTCCACTCTGTCTTCTACCTTGAGTTTGAAAAATCAATAACTCACTCGTGCTATATTTATTATTAAATAAGATGGAGTGGTTCAGTGAACAGAAGTGGTTTAGATACAGATATACCGGACTGCATCAGACCAATAACCTAAACTGATTGTAAATAGGAAAGACCATAAGTAATCGATTAGCAACAAGTTTGTCACAAACGGACATGGTTTTCAAAGTTATTATTGTGTTTAATCTTACTTTTGATATGCCAGATAGTGACCCAAATTTCATTCTAATATTTGACTTGACAACATCATCAGAAGAAATGGATACTGATTTTCAATAATGATCTAGCTAAGATCAATTCATGATATAAAATCTATGAAAATTCAATAATCTTTATGAAATCCTTATGCTAAAAATTTATTGATTAATTAAGTGAACTCTGTTCCATTTACATTTCGTTCTATTTATATTTCGTCAGTAGAGCATTTCTATATTCATGAAATTATTATTGTTTCTTATGTAATTCAATTACTAAATGATCTTGTATACAAAGTTTGTTGATAGGATCAATTCAGTTTTCATGAATTAATTCTGGTTAGTGCTTTTTCAGCAACGTTATTTTCTATGAGATGGAGATGCTGACCCCACAGAAGATGGTGTTTGGACGTAGTCAGCAGGAAACTCTGGAACTAGGTTTTGTGCCACTTGAGACTCATAGGCAAGGTGTCCCTGTAGTCTTGAGGAAACTGATGCTCCCTGACAAATTCGATCCCGTGTCACCCAGCTTCACAGTCATAGATGTTAACACTGAGCTATCTGTGCCGCGATTGACTTCCTGTAGGACTGAGATGTATTTACAATTGATTGATCACTGGGTGGTGATCAATGTCATATATGTATCAGGTCTTTATTAGTGTAATGTCGAGTCACCTAGACTAGTGGCCACATTGCAAATTGGTCAATAAGATTCGATCTGTTCTAAGAAGGACCTGACATACATGACATTGATCACCACCCAGTAATCAATCAATTGTGAATGCTGACCCCATGCTTAACCCTCCTTCTTTATCCAGGCTTGGGATCATCAGTAGCCTTAGAAGAGCTACAGATGGAGTTATTAATTATTTAATTAATTAATTATTTATTGTAACAAACTATTTTGATTTCTTCAGCTGTTCAACATGAACGTGGACCAAGAAATTCTACATTAAGACGACAAGTTGCTTTATTTATGACTAATGATCATCAAACTATACATAAATCACAATTATCTCGTCAATCAAATCAATTATATCATCATCATCATCATCAATATCCAACATCATATCAACAATTATCTCAATCATCTATTCATCAATCTATGCCATTTTCACAAATACCAATAACAACACAATTGATGCATGCTAATACTTTATTAGATATGACACTTGGAAATTCATTGAATACAAATAACATTAATAATGACAAAGATACTACTATTACTACTACTACTACTACTACTACTACTCACACTACTACTAAGAATATTAATAATAATAATAATAATAACAGTGATCAACAATATTCAGGAAATTCATTATCAATCAATAATATACTGAATTTTACAAATCCAGCTATTCTATGCTTAAAATGTACAAATGAATCACTACTACCTTTTTGTTCTACTACACCTTCATTATCATTGTTGTCAACATTGTCTTCTTCTTCTTCTTCTTCTTCTACTACTACTAGTAGTACTACTATTGCTACTGCTACTACAACTTCTTCTACTTCCAATACATTGACAACAATTACAGCTATGAATAATCCCATGGTTACTACCTCTACAATAAATAATAATATGAATGTTCTTTTATCTAAATCATCAACTATTACTATAACATCTCCACCAATCTGTTCTACCTCAACTACAATGAATATAAACCATAATAATTTTAATTATTTCAATTATTTACCTTCCATGTTTCATTTGTGTAATCCATTTAATTTAAATTTTCCAAATCATAGTTATTTTTCAACCATAAGTAAATCTTCAATACCATTAAGTATGAATAATACTACTTCAATTATGAATAATACTACTCATAATATTATGAGTAGTGTTTGTAATGACAGTACTAGTAGTATGATGAATATTGACAATATTAGTACTATTAATACTAATACTAATACTACTAATAACAGTAGTAATGGAAGTACTATGAGTAGTATGAATTGTTTAAATAAAAATGAGAATATTCACCCAATAGAATATACATTCAATAGAAATTTCTTTGATAAATTACATAATCCTCTTCAAAACAACAATCATAATGACGATGATGATGATGATATAACCATGTCTAAGGAACCAATGACAATCTCATCATCAAATCTACATAATCTTGATCATTTCAATATAAAAACAACATGGAATAAAGCGTTAGCTTTTGCTAAATTATGTTTACCAGATTTATTTACATATTCAAATACACATTATATTGATGATATTGATCATTCGATCAATAATAATAATAATAATAATCAATATATTGATTATACAAAATCATTATTATATTTTCAATCAATTTTAAAATTAAATAATCCATATGATTATGAAAAATCAATATTATGGCCATGGTTTATGTCAAATTCTAATCAATTTATTGATTCATTATTACATTCAACTTGTATGAATGATCATAATTTGGATAATAATCCTAAACAGAATAATCATAATATAACTGATCCCAATAATAATAATAATAATAATAATAATAATAATAATAATAATAATAATAATAATGGTCATGTGAACTCACTGTTGAATTGTAATATTAATTCAGGGAATCAAATGACCAATACATTATATCCTACAATGCCAATACTGACATCATCATCATCATCATCAGTAACGTCGACGGTGACATCAACTCCGATCACTTTTCCTCAATTACCTTATCATTATTCTTCATTATTAAACTTGCCACAGACTATGATGATGAATATAAATAATGATAAATTTAAGAATGGTTCAAATGCATGGCTTTTCAATGAAAGTCAATCAATGCAAAGGAAATGTGATTTAGTACATCAAAAAGGTTAGTTTTGAGATGAGGACTATTCTTTCTTTTGGAAATTTAAAGACGTGAACTACTTATGAGTAGTTTACTTTTTCATTATACCATTGGTTGTATTCTATCGTTTGAGTAGTTTGTCATGTTTTTTTTACTTAAAAAATTATACTACTAATTTAATAGTTTAAAAGATTTGCAATCAGTTGAAGGCTTTTTCTTATCAGGTGTAAGTCTATGAGTATTTGTTATATGCCGGTAGGAATAATGAATGATAACTTTTGGGATCCATTTATTGACCAATACTAAACGTATATTTTCATCGTATAATTGTTATGTAACTAAACTATTCATATTCATATTCCTCTTACTATAAGCTTTAATTTAACCCATAGACTATTACTATACGATTTCCCATTCTTGAGCTATACCCAGTCTATCAATTACCATCTCCCTCATTCACAGTCACATCTCGCTAAATCATATACAAATGTTGTTTCATATTTTATGGTACATTGTGGTCTGTTTGATTTGCATATAAACCCAGTATGTTTGAAATACATGATTCATATCGTAGAGACTGAGATTGGTGTTCTGGATTTAACTGGCTGGGCTAGGCGGAAAGCAGGACCAATCAGAACTTTAGGTTGCTCGCACGTTTTTTTACGCGTCCTTTATCCGATCGATAAGTCTCTGCTCTCTGATTGGCGGTATCATTGCGTTATACAATAACAGGGACACACAGATTCACAAGTTATAACAGTATTATTTTTGTAATATATTATTTACCTTTCCAAAGTGAACAAAATGGATTCGGACGAGGATTCGAATATGTAACAATATAAGTTAAGAAGTTATATGTTTTAAGAAAGTATTCTTCTTATCTAAATAACTAAGTATTTTAGAATACTGTAGAATAAACTGAAAAGAAGAAGTATCAGATACTCTGTCTACTTCAAGTAGAGTGATAATGATGATAATTGTATTCAGAAAAACAATGAATACTGGACGGTTCAACCATCTGAGTGAGAACTCAGTATTATGAAAAATTATACAACTACAAATTTCATTCATCAGTAATGAGTTTGACCCAACTTTATAGTTCAGTTTCATGTATTTCAATTATCAGGGTCTAGATTAGGAGAATCATACCTCTACTTATTTTTGCCTGAACTATAATACACATTAATATATACGATATAGCTGAAATCTATGTGACAGAAATCAGTTATTGATGAGTTTTTACTAAATTTGTTTGGTGTAAAAATGAACTTGTAAATAGTTGATAACCGTTGTTTTAAAATAAGTGTACTTGTTGGGGCTTTTGCCCGGCTAATTATCACGTGATATAATCGCCAATCAGAATACAACTTATATAATCTGAGCACTGTGCCAAACTAATGAAGTATTGACCGGTATGAGCAGCCTACATTTCTTATTGATCCTTTTTCCTCCTAGCCCTGCTTGTTGAGACCAGAACACCAATATCAGCTTCTGTTCTGGTTAGCGTTTTTTTAGCGAGTTAGTTTTCTACGGGATGGGGTCGCTAACTCCACACCCAATCCTCCTCCTTTATCCGGGCTTGGGACCGACAGTAGCTCCCGTAGGGACTCAAGGCGGAGTTATATCAGCTTCTACTATATGAATAATTTATTTTAAACAAACGGACCACGTGCATACAACCACTAGCAGGGAAGTCTTACTCACTGCGCTCTCGCGGCACCGGTGTTGTTTACCAAATTGAGAGGACGAAAAGTGAAAATCCAGCGCTTTAACCTGGTTGGTGGACACGGAGGGTCCACTTAGGGGAGTTGGGAAATCCTGATTCCAAACCAATGGTGTACATGGAAAAAAAGCGTATTGACCAATCGTTGGTCACTGGCTACCATGGGACTGTATCTCCTGACGTTGCTCCACTGCCTTGTGGATTAGAACTTTAGATCGAAGGCTTCGTGTATAGCCCCCTAATAAAACCACTTGCTTCTGTTTGGGCACCTGGTCAGTACCCCATTCCCTACATAAATTGAATGATTTGTGTGGCGTATATCTGTTTGGTGCCTCCTTTTTCCAATGTTTATATGTTTAAATAAATAAATGAAGTGTTAATGTTGACAGCTTACAACTCTTGAAAAATTCCATGTCTTAATTGAATTCTGTTTAATTTTCCCTCTCTTTTACTTTTATTCAATAACTACTAACAGAAAATCAACAACATTGTCAACCATTACCTCCATCATATTCAGAAGCAATAAAAAATCAATTCACTATATCAAATGGATTGTTATTATCAACATCATCATCAGCAATTAATGATTTAAACAAAACTTTATTAGATGAATGTTCAATGTTAAATCAATCCAGTGATAATAATAATAATCCATATTATTCATATTCATCATCTATTCCTTCTTCTCCTATTATTAATGGATTATTACCATGTTTCTCATTCTCTTCTATATCTTCCATATCATATTGTAATAGTTTTCCATTGAATAATTCATCGAATCCCTCTACGTCAACATTCTCCTCCTCCTCCTCCTCATCATCATCATCATCATCATCATCGTCGTCAACAACGACAACAACTTTATCATCACCGTTAATGTCAACATCCACCTCATTGTCATTAACAAATACAACATGTTTACCATTGAATATTATACAATTTTATTTAAATCAATTATTATTTCAATTAATTCATTGGTTATGTCAATTTAGACCAGATTTAAAAATGAATGAACATTTTAATTGTTCTATAAATAAATACAATATGATGAATTCAATGTGTCAACAATGGGATTATTTATTTGGTATAACACTATTTTTAGAATTTTATAAAATGTCATTAGATGATGGTACTACTAATAATCATATGAGTAATAGTGATGTAGATGATGATACAAATGATCAATCTATTATTTTTAATAAAATGCATTATTTATGGTTAGAATTTGTATGTAAACCATTAGTTACATCATGGAATAATGTGAAGAAATCAGATATTGGTAAGTTTGATTGAAATTTATATCAGAAAGGGATTTTTTGTGGAGATTTTTAGAAGTTTCACTGGTTGAAATCATGAGCCAATTGAAGCTAAACCACCATGGAAAACCTGGAAGAACTGGATGGCCGTTTCGTCCTAGTATGGGATTCCTCAGCAGTGCACATCCACGATCCCGCACCCCGCGAGATTAGGACCCACGACCTATCACCAGGCGCTTAACCAACTAGACCACTGAACCAGTCGATATTCAACGGTATTTATGTCTAACTTCAACCAATTCACGAAGTTGCACCACTGTACACCATTGTCTTCAGTGAGTTGATATCTCATAACAGACCTGGTTGAACTTCACTGGTAACGGCTTGGCACTAGAACTCCAGGAATATCTCTTGAAGTCAGTCACTAGTGAGCAGATGATTATTATCAGAAGGGGTTTTGTGGAGACTTTAGAAATTCCACAGATTGAAATCATGAGTCAAATGTAGCTAGACCACCGCTGAAGAGTCCCGTAATAGAACGAAACGACTGTTCAGTGTTGCCAGGTTTTCCACTGAAATTTATATGTTGGATATTATATTATGCTATAATATGATTTGGTTGAGAGTGATAACCAAAAAACTCATCAAACAACTTAATTTCCAATTGATACGTTTAAATATAATTTTACATTGAGAATGAGTTAATATGTCAAGATTTTTTTCCAACTGATGTTTTGATATGATGTGTACAATATACCGATCAAATGTTATCGTTGGAAAAAAGAACATTTAAAGGTTATTAAAAGTTGAAAACTCGATTGGAATTCTGCTGGAACTCTAAGTAACTGTTAATCAGTACCAAGGTCAAAATTTTCAATACACATATCAACACAGTTCTACTGTATGGAATGGAAACCTGAAGAACTACAAGAGCCATTATCCAGAAGGTACAAGTGTTTATTAACAGTTGTCCACGCAAAGTACTTCGGATCCGTTGGCCGAACAATATCAGTAACAACCTACTGTTGGAGAGAACAAACCAGATCTCAGCGGAGGAAGAAATCAGGATGAAGCACTGAAAGTTGATAGGACACACATTGAAGAAAGCACCCAACTGCATCACAAGACAAGCCCTCACATGGAATCCTGAAGGCCAAAGGAGAAGAAGCAGACCAAAGAACATATTACGCTGAGAAATGGAGACAGATATAAGAAGAATGAACAAGAATTGGATAGAACTAAAAAGGAAGTCGCAGTAGAGAGTGGGTTGGAGAATGCTGGTTGGCAACCTGTGCTCCTTTAGGTGTAACAGGCGTAAGTAAGTAAGTAATTGATATCCTGGGAAAGTTCTTGGCTTATAGTGGAATAATTAAGTGGTCAGTATGATGTACAATCTAGGCATTGATTGAAAATGTCACAGAATATTGAATTGAATTACTTGGAAATAGTTAAGACTCTCTAGTTAAAGTCATATGAATTAGCTTCATCAATGATTGAAGACTTTAGGTAAAATAAACTTAAACCAATCATAGTCGAATAGCTGAACTCGTATCTTGGTACCTTTCAATCCTAAATTCTGAGTTACAGCACAGTATTTCACATTTTGTATTTCCTTTTTCTTAAAATTAAATTCCTCTTCTTTAACTGTTTTCAATAATTAATCCTTTGGTGAGACTATAATTTATGGATGAACCAATCATGTATAAGATTAATAGGTTTCAGATTTTCGCGCGAGATTCATTCATTCATTCATTTGGATATATAGAGTTTTGGCAATATAACTGATGTCAGTTCGTGATGAAAACCCCCTTAAATCTAATTCTCAACCTTAACCCCATCAAACTGTAAATCATAATTCTGAATTCTTCACACTGGTTTATAACCTTCATTATTCGGTCGTAGTGATAAGGTGAACACTCTCAAGTTCAAATGAACATCCATCAATTCTTGTCTCACTTTCATATATTGCTATTATAATATTTCGTCGTTATTATTTTTTCTCTTTCAGATTTATTAACTACTTTGTCAGAATCCAATTCAATAATTCAATTATTTACACAATTAATTGTTTTAAAATTAAATGAAGAAGAAATTGATTGGTTAAAAATGATGATCTTGTTTAGTTCAACATCAGGTAATATGCTGATTGGTGAGTTAATCTTTTGGTTGACAAGGTCAATTGTTTTGATTGGTCAATATGGTATGCTGACTAATTATGATGTATCAGAAGAAGTTTTTGTGAAGGTGGTAGTAATTTCAATAGTTGCGATCATGAGTCCATTGAAGCTAGACCAACATGAAGAACCTGTAAAAGTACTGGATGGCTGTTTCGTTTTAAATTGTGGAACTCTTCAGTGTCACTGTGCATCCACGATCCCGTCTCGTGAGATTCGAACCCAGGATCTATCTAGCTTTAATTGAATCATGATTTCAAATATTAAAATTTTACATGAGGTTAATCATAGATACTAAACTATGTGACTGAAACATTGAGTTAAACGGCTTTGAATTATTTGTGATTAATATCAGTTCCTTCCATATTTTGTGAATGGGCTTACATAATAAATAGTAATAGTCCAAGGTCTTCTATTTAATTAATATTAATCTTTAGATTCAAGTGTATTTTAAAGAATACATAATGTTAATGAATTGAGCATTTTCATTGTAAATGATTAACAATGTCGTTCAGATAGTGTTTGTATCGATTTATCCGACGGATAACTGAATCAATCTTAATGATTATTTCTATAGACAAATAGTTTAGATCATAATTAAATCTCTGTTTTCTTGAATCTTCCCATTGATGTGTTTGGACTGCAATTGATCAATTTCTCTTATTGGCATATGTGCATCTTGTGCGTATTGTCTTAGTTCACAAGCATTATAAGCAAATATAGTTAATGGCTAGTACTGGAATCCAGGACATACATTTTGTCCTATTTGAGACTCGTCAGTTAGATATACCTGCATCTCAGAGTTGATGTTCACTCTGAGATTATGAACCCAGTACTGTTTGCTTCAAACGATATCACGTTATCCACTTAACTACTGAGTCCTGATAACACTTTACTTGTGCGATAGGATGAAGTTTAAATTCATTTGGAATTGTTTTACTTGAATCTTCTCATCGATGTTTATCACTGCAATTGATCAGTCTGTTATTATTGGCACATGTGAATCCTATGCAGATTGCTTCGATATTACCTTAATTCATAAATATTCTAAGCAAAGGTAAATAGTGGCTAGCAGTAAAATTCAGTGAATAAGAACACGAGCGGGATATAAGTAGCTCATATCACACTCGTCCCGCCTTTAAAACATTCGTTCTTGAGGTGGTTCTGTTCGCCATGCCACTTTCTTCTTTGCTGCAGTCGTCAAAATGTCGAGTATGCGTTGCGCCCACCTCCATAGATCAGTCGACCTGCCGGGGCATCAACATCAGACATCCTCCTAGCACATGGGACGTTCGACGTCTGCGCTTCAGCGGCCTGTCGAGTCACCTACATCCGATGTCTGCACAGTATCCTTATGGTGCGTGCTACTTATATTGATATAAGTAGTATATGACACGAGTCAGGACTGTAATATCTGGCAGCAGAAAATGGGGAAGATCAGGGAAGGAAGAGTGGGAATAGAAAGCAATTAATATGGAAATGCAAGAACAACGAAACTCGAGACAATTATTGAACATTTTGCAAATTAAGTATTATAGTATGGTTTTTCTATTTTACCGAGTAACTCTGTAATTTTGTGCTAAATACAATTCGATTGTCCCCACCCGTGTTCTGTTCACTACATCCTCATCTCCCACCGCTCTTCTCCGTCGACAGCACCCGCTATAGCCAACCGGTATCTCAGCTCCAGGCCCGCAACGGCGTACGCAGAACAGCACCCTGCCACTTCTGGTTGGCAGTGACACCAAAGAAAGTAAACAAGAACACGAGAGTAGACAATCAAATGTATTTGATCACAAATTACAGAACATCTCACTAAAATCTGACAAATATATGGTAAATTTGCAAAAGATCAATCCATCATCTCAAACTTGACAGTTCCTGTTGCAAAAAAACATCAATCTATTGTCTCAGAATTCATTATTCATACGTTTTCATACTAATTGCATTCCGTTCCCATTCTTTCCTCATCGATCTTCTACTGAAATACATTCGATGCCTGATCATCGTTATATACTACTTATATATGGATATAAGTAGCTCACATATTAATAATTTTACTCAACTTTTTTTATGCTTCTTTATAGATTCATTTCAATTCATACAAAATTATGTTATAAAATATTATCAAACTATATTAAATGGTTGTTTATTACGTCAAGAACAATTAATGCATTTAATTCAAACAATTTATTCATGTATTAATATAAAATGTAATTTACCTATGAATTGGTTAAAATATTATATTGAATGTATATTTCAATTAAATAATGAACAATTTAATTTAATTATAAAACAAATGATATTCACAGCAATAGAAACTTCTGAAATGTTAATGATGACAACCCCATCAACACAATTACGACCACCACCACCACCACCAACAACAACAACCACAACAACAACGACAACAGCAACAACAACTAATTTACATTAAGATCTATTATGGTTATTGAAAGTGATGAATGAATTCACAGTTTAAATCAAACTAAAGAATAAACCATAGTAACCAATGTTCAAGTCTAATTTGAAATGTACACATACTCAATGATGTCACACACATACACACGCACATTTATTCAGTATACTTAAATGTTGTTGCCAGGTGATCAGTATTCAAGCCTCTGTCTCTCTCGCATGCACACACATTTATTCACTCTATTTAAATATTATTATCAACAATAAAGATGATATATTGTTGTTAATTAACTAAAGAATGTTTTTGTTTTGTTTTTCCCCCCGATTTTCTCTAGTTTTTTTTGTTTTCCTAATTCAATGATCTCTTTAAATGAACAGATAACTAAGTTCAGGATTTTAACATTACAATAGTTACATAAACATACACGCACACACACAAACACACATACGCACACAAATGCACTTGAAAACAAGAAACGAACAGATGAATATACGAAAAAATATGACTTCCAGTTTTTTTTTTGTTGGTTGTTTGACTACACTATTTTTGTTGTTGTTCTGGTTGTTGTTTTACCTTATTTTGTCACAAGAAATCTCTCTTTTTTTTGTCTTTTTAAAAAGACTTTCTCTTTAGTTTTTTTCCATGTTTATTGTAGCACAAATTTATTTCACCAAAGATAATATAAATCTATAGAAAAACATAATTTTCTAAGAGAAAAAAAAAAGAAAGAAAGAATCTATTAAGCCTATTGATAATAGACAATGTAATAATGTTACTGGAAAATATTTCGACTTTCTTAATTATATTACTAATATAATATTAATTAGTAATATCAATAGTATTATACTATTATACGTAATGGTTAATTTCTATTGGTTGTTTAATTAACCAATCAGCGAACAGATGAGTAGGATTTCTTTATATATATATATATATGGATTTACGCACAGATACAGATTGCCACTTATTGTATTTCAATGAAATGACAGTCTAAACGTTTATTATTACAGGGTTATGTTCAGAGATGCACATATACAGTTTTATAGATACTAAGATATATATAAAGAACAAATGAACAACACATCAATCTACTCAATAACAGTTTTGTTTCTTTATTTAGTTTCTTCGTTTTTTTGCTACTTCTCCAGTTCATTTCATTATTACACCATTTGCACTTGATAATCCGTATTACTACTACCACTATTATTATTATTATTATTATTATTATTATTTTGTAAATAGGATATTTTAATGAATAGAGTACAACTAGTGACTTAAATGAATTTCATAATTGAAAATATATTTTATGTTTTTTCGTTGTTGTTTTTTTCTTTATGGATTAGGGGAATGTTATGGTCCAAAGCCGCCAATCAGAAGCAGAGAATTATCGATCGGATAAAGGACGCGTAAAAAAAAACGTGCGAGCAGCCTAGAGTTCTGATTGGTCCTGCTTTCCGCCTAGCCCAGCCAGTTAAATCCAGAACACCAGTCTCAGTCTCTACGATATGAATCATGTATTTCAAACATACTGGGTTTATATACCAATCAAACAGACCACAATGTACCATAAAATATGAAACAACATTTGTATATGATTTAGCCAGATGTGACTGTGAATGAGGGAGATGGTAATTGATAGACAGGGTATAACTCAAGAATGGAAAATTGTATAATAATTGTTCTTAGGTCAAAATAAAGTTTATAATAAGAGGAATATGAATATGAACAGTTTAGTTATTTAACAATTATACGATAAAAATATAGGCATAGTACTGATCGATAAAAGGATCCCAAAGTTACCATTCATTATTGTTAGGATATTCGGAAAAATATATCAATAATTATCATGTTAAGTCTAATGGTGTCCTTGGACTTTAAATGGACATTCCCTATTGGTCAATATTTGTTTCACTTGTTAAATGTTGGTTACTATTTTCTGGTACGATGTGGTCTGCTTGATTGGTATATAAACAGAGTATGTTTGAAATATAACGATTCATATCTCAGAGGCTGAGACTTGCGTTCTGAACTCATCTGGCTGGGCTAGACAGGGAAGCGGGACCAGTCGGGACTCTTGGTCGTTCGTGCGTGTTTTACGTGTCATTGATCCGATCGATCATACGCTGTTGTCTAAATCTGCAGTCATCAGTCACATGTTACAACAATTATGTTTATCGGGACCTAACAGGGAAATAATTTAACATCATTGCGTAAAATTGGGTAGTTCAGTAAGTGGAGAGTGAAAGAGCGGGAGAGAATAGGTCTCAGATACATAGAATTATTAGCTAAAGAAAAAATTAGAGGGAAAAATTCACAGACATTAACACTATTGGATGCTGGTCGGCTTAGTGGTTTAATGGTTAAGCGCTCGAGTGCGAGACTGATAGGTCCTGGATTAAAATCTCGAGAGGTGGGATCGTGGATGCGCACTGACACTGAGGAGTTCCACAATAGGACAAAACAGCCGTTCAGTACTTCTAAGTTCTTCATGGTGGTCTAGCTTCAATTGACTCGGGATCTTAACCATTAAAATTGCCTTATTTTTAGTAAAAGTATCTCAAGTTGTTATGAATCTAAAAATTCGTTTATTAATAGACAAATGTACACAATATACGCAGAAAATGTTTTATTCTTTAAAAAAATACCCAGTTCAAACCATATCACTACAGATAATCTCAATCTGACACATTGTTTAGTTTCAGTGTTTATCTGATTGGTTAATACCAATTGTACAGAACATATAATTGTTGTTGTTTTAAAGAATGGATTAACTTAAATTGATTCATGATTTCAATGAAATTCAATAATCTTCATAACTCCATATTAGAAATTATTATGTGCTCACTAATGTCTAGTTTCGAAATGAAATTTCCGGTGCTCTAATGAGAAGCCTTTACAGAGTTCAACCGTATTGAGTGTGTGGCAGTTATCCATCGAAGACAATATGAGGTGGTCACGAAATATCGTGAATTGATTGAGGTTAGAAATAAACACCACTGGATACCAATTTAATGGTCGAAAGGTTAACTGTTCATGTACAAGATCGTAGGCTTTGGATTTAAGGTCGGATCTAGGGGTCGATATCTGTGTACTACGAAGGAATGCAATACTAGGACAAAACGACCGTTCATTCCTTTCAGGTCTTCAGTGGTAATCTAAAATTGATCGGTTTGTGTTTCTATAGAAAAATCATCTTTCTATCATAAACATATCAGTTTACAAATGTACTGATCTTATTATTCTCTTATAGTTAAATTACTGTCTTCGATCTAATTCTAACCGTGTTCAATCGGAAGATGACTTTAGAAAGTAGATCATTTTCTTAGCATGTAGCAGTTCAAGATATGACTTAATTCAAACAACAACAATAATATAGAGTAACTTCCTGATCCATTCATCAACAGGAAATGACAGAATACGCACAAGTAAGAGGGAGAATGGGATATAAGTTTGTAATTAATTAACAATAAATTAAGAAACGTAAAACATATTACAATAGTCAATGCTTTAAACGATAGATTAAATTTAAGAGAATATAAGAATATAATCTAATAATTATAAACAATAACTCTTCATAAGATAGTATCAGAAGTTACAGCTTCCTTGATATATGTCCCGTTACAACAAGTGAGACTATGAACCATAATGGTAATTGTTGACTAACTGGTTAGGATTCGCGCGATTATTGAAAATGATTAATATAACTCAGAATCAATCGCGGAATGATCGTCTATTGCTTTCAAATTTTTAATGTTGATCGATTTAGGTATATACAATTGGTTGATCACTGGGTGGTGATCAATGTCATGTATGTCAGGTCCTTCTTAGAACAAATCGAATCTTATTGACCGATTTGCAATGTGGCCACTAGTCTAGGTGACTTGACATTATACTAATAAAGACTTGGTATATATAACATTGATCACCATCCAGTGATCAATCAATTGTAAATACATCTCAGTCCTACAGGAAGTCAATCGCGGCACAGATAGCTCAGTGTTAACATCTATGACTGTGAAGCTGAGTGACACGGGATCGAATCTGTCAGGGAGCATCAGCTTCCTCAAGATTACAGACACACCTTGCCTATGAGTATCAAGTGGCACAAAACCTAGTTCCAGAGTTTTCTGTTGACTACCTCCAACCATAATCTTAACTAGGTATAATTCGTTTAGTGTACATCGACTCACAATTCAACTATTAAAATTACTACAATCTCCACAAACTCCATTCAGATCATAATCATTATATGTTCACTAGTGACTGGCTCTAAGATGATTTCCTGAAGTTCTAGTGAGAAGCCGTGACTAGTGGAGCTAATCCTTATTGGATAGAGACAGATATCTATCTCAGTGCAATAAAAGATGATTGCCTGATTTCGTGAATTGGTTGAGGTTAGACATTACCACAATCAGATGCCGGCTCAGTAGTCCAGAGGTTAAGAATCCGCACACAAGACCGAAGGTCTTGAATTCGAATCCTGCGAGCCGGATCATAGATACTCACTGCTGAAGAGTCTCACAATAGGACGAAACGGTCGTCCATTACTTCCAGGTTCTCAATAGTAGTCTAACATCAACCGGTTCATGATCTTGAACCAAAAAAAACACATAATAATCTTCACAACCCTGTACTGATAAGTCTCTTTATTTTCTGGTAGAGAATAATCATTTCATTTATATTTTACTATATAAATATTTCGTTAATGAAATATATTTTCAGCATTATTACTGACTTTCAATCATTCAATGATGATAAATGCCTCATTATTATTATTATTATTTTTCTTCTTTTCATCAGCACATATATATACATACCTAATCAATCAGTTGATTACCTTTTTAATCAGTTGAAACAATCATTCAATCAATCAATCAATCAGTGTTCAATGTTCAATATGTGTATATTTGCATAAAGTCAAATAGGTTATTTATTATTTCGAATAATTTGATATTTATATTCGGATGTATACATATCTCCTTCTTTCGTTTTCTTTTTCTTTTCCTTCTTCTTCTTGTTATTCTTCTCTTTCGTCTTCTTCTTCTTATTATTATTATGTTGTACTACATGTGTCAAGGAAACATTGATCATTGAATAGAAAGTGTGAAATGATAATGTTATAAATTGGGCTAATTTTCTATTTATCCATCCATTCATTGATAAATACAAGTACACACATACACACACATACATATACACAAATGCACAGAAAGACATTATTAATGTTGTTATTTTATTAATTAAACAAAACTGATAGATATTACTAAGTAATTATTTATAATAGTAATATGTAAAGTCGTAAATAACTAGAATGATTTTGATTATGATTGAAGAAAGTTACAATCATCATCATTCTCTTCGTTGCATCTAACACTAACGTCACTACTGGTTCTGACATCAAAAGCGCTTATTTATGTAATAACATTCCTAAATATCAATCTAATAACGGCGACCATAATAGTAGGATACGTGGTTGGAAAATATGTTTTTAGTGTATATATGCTTCCATTTAATAAAGACATGGATAATCAAGATTAGAGTCAATGATAAAAAAAAATACTTTTTTTGCATTTTTTTCAGCA